GTGCTGTGAATGCTAATCACCTGAGATCCTGGCTGGACTGCAGAGCAGTAGCCCTTTAAAACACAAGGGAAATGTGACCCCCAAGGTCCCCAAAAGGCTTTCCGGGGCCCCAGACAGCTCTGTACCCAAGCTCCTGCCTCTTACGTAGCCCCTACCCCTTGACAGGCACCAGGATCATCTACGACAGAAAGTTCCTGCTGGAGTGCAAGAACTCACCCATTGCCCGGACACCCCCCTGCTGCCTCCCTCAGATTCCCGGGGTCACAACTCCTCCAACAGCCCCATCCCCCAAGCTGGAGGAGCTGAAGGAACGGAAGGAGACAGAGGAAGAGATACCCGGTAAGGAAAGCAGGAACTGACTTAAAATTAAGAAATACCTGAGTCCAAATACCCTGGTTTAGAGTGGGGGTTCAAGTCTGAGTGGTTTCTGCACTAAAGCTGAGTGTGCAGACCCTCAGCCCAGCAACCAGTCCTCCTGCCTTCTCTCTCTCCAGATGACGCACAATTTGAAATGGACATCTAATCCAGTGCAGATGACCTGTGTGTGGAGTTACAGGAATCCCTCATGCTGCCGCTGCCACCACCTCTTCCTGGGGTATCCAAAGACCAGCTGGCCTCATCTAATCTGGGAGTGCTTGGCTCTGGGCCTCCCTTAGTTCTGAGGCAGCTAGACCAAGGATAAGGAGTGGGCACCTTGCCAAGCCCTTAACTCTACTTTCTGTTCGGTTTGTAGGCACTCCTCTCAACCCCCAGCCTCCCACTCTCAGGCTGAGGCGAGGATTGGGGGAATGGAGTATGTCACTGTCTCACTGCTTAGTAAATATTCAAAGAAATGCCTTGGCTCCAATGTTCTCAATGCTGATCCTCCCATCCCAGCCACACAGCTGAGGGCCCCAGCAGACCTGGTTAGGAATAGAGGTCCAGTTACTTCCCAATTCAGATTGAGCCCACTTCCAGAAGCAATTAGAGCCTGTGGCAGGCTTATGGGGGCAAGCTACAGAAGCTATCAAATCATAAACAGCACTAGCCTGACCCCTGCCAAGGGCTGTTCCAGCCTTTCCAGGAAGCAGCCTTCCTAAAATCAGGCCTCTCCCGACTCCTCCCTCCGTCCATACCAAACCAGGAAAAAAGCACTGCCCTAACCTTTTAGCCACCTCTGATCTCCCCATGCCTCTTCTGCCTCCCAGTTATAAATACCAATTCCAGTCTCCTTATTCCAACACTGAAAGCCTGTTCTAGACCTTCTCACAGGCCCCCTCGACTCTGTTGTCTTCAAAGAATAGACCTTAGAACCCACATTGAGGCCCAAACTGAGGCAGCAGCTAATTTCTAAGTCAGATAGAGTCATAACTATATCCCCCTCTCCCAAGAAAAAAAGTCATGATCCCATATTTCAGGAATGTGGTCTTTTTCTCCTCCAATGTATTTAGCTATGTTCTAATATCTGATTCTAATCTCTTGCATACTCAAGAGTGATACAGTGCAAACAAGGCAATCTTTTCTTGAGGGAAAATTCTCCCCATGCTATTTGAACCTCTGTTCCCATGCTGAAATGAAATCATACAAAGATAGGGTTACTCAGCCCAGCAAGGGATATGCGTTTAGTTCTGATTTGGGAAAAAGTGGCAGACAGTAATCTGGTCATGCCTAGTAAGGCCATTCATGATGAATGGAGGAAGAACAGAAGCTTGCAGGGTGCAGAGCGAGCCACAAGTGACCAGTTTGGCATAAGAAGGGTTTCTCTCCTAACCAGGGGCCACACTGAGATGTTTTTATTGAAACATATGTTAGAGAAGACAAGTGACCACGCTGTGGCCTAGATGGGACCTCTTCCCCCAGAGGTGGGTCAGGCCAAGGGAACCCAACAGGGCAGACAGTCTCCCAAGTGCTGAGGGCGCCAAGTGAGACAAGGCCTCCCACGCCAAGGCATAGGAGATGGTGCGAGGTGAGTCTGGGGAACCCACAGGATTATGGATCCTGTTCTGGTACGGTCTGGTTCTCAGATGTGGCTGCAGCTTTCTCTTCATTAGCCTCCTCCTCTGAAGACAGACTCCTCTTTTCTGCAATTAATCTTTTAACTCCCACCATCCACTGACTGACTTCAGTCACATGGTCAACCATGAGTGAGCGGTGGATGTCATCTGCTGCATCCCACTGGTGCCTTGAAAGCTCTGAGGAGAGAGAGAAAGAGGCTGAGCAAGCAGTCTGGGCAATAGACACCTCCCACTCCTCCCCTCAGAATCTCACTACCTATTCCAGCTTAGCCAACTACGGCAGGATAAGGAACTGATACCTTGCACCAGCAGAGCCATCCTCTTCTTTACAGGCGTTGACAGCTTCCCTCCAGCCCACTGTTCTTGCAGCAGAGCCAGGCGTCGGCTGATGTCATCACATACCTGCTTCTGAGAGACAGAAAGCCCTGCAAGTCAGTTCTGCCACAACAGGGGCAAAGGAAACCTAGCACCACATAGGAAGCACCTGCTTTCTCTGGCCCAGGAACTTTACACTTAATCTTAGCGTTCTGGTTCTGTACCCAAAGATTAGAGGCCCACTAAGAATTTGATGAAACTTATAGATCTATTTTCAAGAAAAATGCATGTAAGGTGAGAATTTTAAGCTTTCTTAGACGCTCAAAAACTCATTTTATAGTGCTACTTTACAAATAAGGAAACTAAGACCCAAACAGGTGAAAATTACTATGCTACTTTCCTTTAAGATTCCTCAAATCCCTTGTCTCCAGAGAACTTAAACACTATAGACAGAAAAAGAGGGTTTCCCTCCCTCCCGGAACACAAAATTAGCAAGGCCTGCTCTGAATGGCCTAGAGGTATCATAATCAGGCTGCTGATCACTAATGGGAGTTAAATTCAACTTTCATACCCACAAGCCTCTTCTGACTGGTCTCGAGAAGTGCCTTGAACCCTCCTGAAACCCTGTGTTTATTTTTCTGGGAAGGCCTTAGATTCCAAAGGAGTCCATAACTTGAAAGGGTTAAGAGCCACTGCCCATAGGATCGCAGGGTCTACCTTTGGGAGCCATACCTGCATCTGGCTGTCAATAGGAACCCTCCCCATCATCCCACCAGAGTGCCAGGGTTTACCTTCGTGTGGCCACGACAATCATCCAATGCCTGTTCCAAAGGTCTCAGCACATCTTCCAGCAGAGTCTCACACTCAGTGACTGGAAAATCTATGGGATCCACAGTGGAGGCAGGACAACTCCCCACAGCTGGGGGCCTAGAAGCTGTACTTGAAGGAGGTGGAGGCCCCATTGGGGAGGGCCCAGGAGAAGTCTCTGAGGTGGGGACTGAAAAGGTAAAGCAGGATCAAACAAACAGGCATAGCTGCTGAAATAGTTTGTAAGAAGCTCAACTCTCTTGAGACAACTCATTCACTGAAAAATACATATTTATGAAGTCCCTACTATGTGCCAGACAATGTGTGAGGCACCAGTGAGAGTAGTAAACCAGGCATATTAGGTTCCTGATATCAGAGTTTAAATTCTAGAGGAAGTGGGGGGTAGGGGGGACAAGAAAAATCACCAAATTATGTTGCGTGCTACAAAGAAAATGGATCAAGTGAATAAGAGGAATACAGGGACCTACCTAGAAGGGCACCTAATTTTATTCCAGCCCACCCACAATGTGACATTTGGCAAGTTACTTTTAACCTCTGAGCTTGGGTTCCTCTTCTATAAAATGGGGATATTACCATAATAGCACTTACTTCAAAGTTTCAGTGATGATTAAGACTATAGATATAGGCTCTAGCCAGTTTGGCTTCGTGGATAGAGCGTCAGCCTGTGACTGAATGGTCCCCAGGTTTGAGGGCTCGATCCCCAGTAGGGGGTGTGCAAGAGGCAGCTGATCAATGATTCTCTATCATCACTGATGTTCCTATCTCTCCCTCTCCCTTTCTGAAATAAATAAAAATATATTTTACGAAAAGAATATAGATACAACTGCTAGATTAGTGTGTAGCAAAAAGCACTCACAAAGTTAAGAACTAATGGATGAGATAGATGCAGCCATGAAAAGTTAAAGGAAACAAGAACTAGATAGAGGTAAGGGCAGTGCCCAAGAGGCAGGAAAAGTCAAGATGTTAATTCTGTATGCTCTGAAAAATTGATGAGAATAGGTCAAGAATGGAGGCGGGGACACCAATTGGGAGGTTAATGGAGTAGTGGTCCTGGAAAGAGAAGAAGCTGGCATGGACTCGTGTGAAAGACTAGAGATGAGGAGAAATGGAGTGGTCAGATTTACTTAGGAGGGAGACACAACAGGACTTGGTGGATTGGGGGTGAGGGAGAGGAGTCAAAGATGACTTGGTTTCTGACTTGAGTAATGGGATGGTGGAACCACTACAGAAAAAGACTAGAGGAGAAAGACCAAGAATTTAGTCTTAGGCATCAACATCCACATGAAGGGGGTGGAGGTCCCATATGGAGGAGGGGGGTCAGGAGAAATCTCTGAGGTGGGGACTGAATAATTTGGCCTCTGTTTCTTGACCTCCTCACCTTCAGTGATCATTTTTTCCACCCTACCTCGGCCTCATTCCCCTCTGCTGTGTTCCCAACAGCACTGAACCATCTCCAAAATCTGATCACCCCTCCTACCCTTCCAGCTCAGCTACTCAGATTTAACCAGACATTAAAATCGCTGCCTTATAAACACTCTTACCTCACTTAACTGTCCCATTTTCCTGGTAAACACAACTTGCCTACACTTGTTGGGAGGAAAAATAAAACCATGCTGAGGAGTTAACACTTTAAATCCATGACTACAGCCCTAGCTGGTTTGTCTCAACGGATAAAGCGTTGGCCTGTGAACTGAAGGGTCCCGAGTTCGATTCCAATCAAGGGCATATGCCTAGGTTGCTGGCTCAATCTCAAGTGGGGGGCGTTCAGGAGGCAGCCAATCAATGATTCTCTCTCATCGATGTTTCTATCTCTCCCTCTCACTTTCTCTCTGAAACAAAAATATATTTTTAAAAAATTTTTAAATAAATAAATCCATGGCTACAGATTTCAAAAGGTATCCAATGCTGCTTGGAAATCCTATACTTTGCTCATTTTCCCACTCTTTGGAACAACTATTTTCACATCTTACCTCCTCTAAACTTTCTACCCTGCCCCCTTCTTTACCCTTCCCTGCTGTCTCTCTACTTCTGATCCTGCCTCATATTTCACTGAGAAAGTAGTCATTCAACAGGAACTCTTATATTCTCACTACCAGTTCTAACTCAACCACATTAGTGGCCTCTTTCTTCCTCTTTCAATAGATGAAAGGTCTCTGCTCCTAACAGAGGCCATCTCTCTAGCTGAACTTTGCACCCAGTCTCTCTTGCCTTCTGCAATTATCCCCTTTCTCCTGCACCATTAGTTCTCCCTCTCAACTGCACCATCCCATCTGCACAAAACACACCAAAGTATACTACCTTAAAAACCCTCCCTTACCTCAAATTCCATCTTCAGGTACCCACGCCCTTTCTCATCTCTGCTTCAAGCAGAATTTCTTGAATGAGTGGGCTATAGTTACTTCTCGCTCTTTTCACATTCTCTCATCCCATCCCAGCAGGATCTCTGCTCTCATCACTCCACATACTGCTCTTAGGGTCATCAATCATCACTATGTACATCAAAACTAGCAGTCCCTTTTCTCTTACTTGATCTCTCAGCAGCATTCATCACAGTTAAGATTTTACTCTCTGGCCTGGCTCAGTGGTTGAGCATCCAGCAATGAACCAAGAGGGCACTTGCCCAGGTTGTGGGCTTGATCCCTGTAGGGGGTGTGCAGGAGACAACAAATTGATGTTTTTCTGTGTATATCCCTCTCCCTTCCTCTCTAAAATAATTAAAATCACACAAAAAAGATTTTACTCTCTCCCAGAATAAATTTTACTTTTCTTCTTCTTTGGCTATTTCTCAATCTCCTTTGCTAATTCCTTCTCTACTCAATCTTGAAATGCTACAGAGCCTTAGGGCTCTGTCTTAGATCCTCTTTAGGCCTCTATCCACACACTTTCCCTAGGTAACTTAGTCACATCCATGACATCAAATCTGATCCATATCATGGTGACTCATTTCTGTAATTCTGGCCTATACCTCTCCCCCAAAACAGCAGCCCAAATTGAACACGGCCAAGACTGAAAACTTGCTTTCCCTTCCCACGCCCCCCAAACCACTATTCTCTAGTCAGTGAACAATACCAGCCAACTCCTCAAGCAAAAATTCAGTTACATTGATTCTCCTTTCCCTCACCTACCCACTCCTACTGACTTTCTCCAACACATCCCATATCCATCCAGTACCTACCACCTCCAGTACTCCCATCCTTGTCCATCATTAAATCTTGCCTATGTTACCATAATAGTCTCTAAGTTTTCCACTTCTTCCCTAAATCTTCCACACAACAGATACAGTGATATTTTTTTTAATGTGAATTAGTCGGTGCTTCTCAGTCTGGGAAGATTTTGCCTCCAGGGTAAATGTGTGAAGATACCATTAGCTGTCCCAACTAGATGGGTGCTGCTGGCATTTAGTGGGTAGAGGCCAGGGATGCTGCAAACATCCTACAGTGTACAGGACAGTCCCTCACCACAAAGAATTATATGGCCCCAAATGTCAATAGTGCCAAGGTTAAGAAATCCTAGCTTACCTCATTCCAGTGTTACAGTGTGGAAATAGAGGGGTGCTGAAAGCGCTGAATCTGAGCCTCTTCCTCAGGGCCACACCCCCACCTATTGGCATGGGAACTGCTCAGGGGAAAAGGCAGCCCTCTTCTATTTTACACTTTTCAATGGCTTCCAACTTTACATAGATTAAAATACAAACTCCTTATCCTGGCTTACAAAGCCAACTATGACCTGGCCCCTGCCTACTTTTCTCTATCCCTACCCACTGTGCTCTAGCCAGTCTCTGAATTTGCCAAATGTGTTCTCCAGGCCTTTGTACTAGCTGTTTCCAATGCCTGGAATGCTCTGGCACCTGATCTTTGGGTAGATAGCTCTTAATCATCATTCAGATTTCAGCTGAAGTGTCAGCCCCTCAGACACCTTAGTTACCTGGTCACTCTCACATCACTTTTATTTCTCTGCAGAGCCCTTGCCACTATTCATTTGTGTATCTCCAAAGCTATAGTGTGGACTCCATGAAAGCAGAAACCTTTTTGTCTTCTTCATTGTTGTCTAATTCGCCCACAAACAATGCCTGGCTCACAGTTGGTGCTCAGTAGATGATAATGAATAACAAGTCAAGTCTGAGATGCTTATTATATAGCCAGGTGAAGATGTAGAACAGACAAATGGATATATCACTATGGAGTTCTGGGAAGAGATCAGGGTAGGAAATAAAATTTGAAAATAATGTGAGAGTAAAAACTACATCAAAACCATAGGTCTGATGAGATCACCTTGGATGAAAGCATAAAGAGAGTATTTGAAACCAACGTACCATTTATTGACCTGGGCAGTAGAGAAGGGGCTCAGAAAAGGGCCTGCCCCGAGGCCCTTTCTGGGGCTCCAACCTCTCACCGCGGGACAAGCTTATCCCCGGCACCGCCCATTCTCGGCCGGCCTCTGCGCCCTGGGCCCCCACGCACCTCTGGGGGCTCCATCCTGGGGAGCGGCGACCCTCTTGGTCAGCGGGGTGCGCTTGGGTCCGCCGGCCTGGGTCTGCAGCCCATAGGAGAACTGCGGCGGGTCGTTCCAGCCGCGCTCCTTGTTGCCTGCAGGGGGAGGCGAGTGTAAAGCCAGCCCAGGGGGGCCGGAGGG